GTAAAGTCTTCTGGCATGGACAACTAACTTGCAATTACTTAGAGTCAAATAGCTGCTTTAATTAAAAAAAACCAAAGCCTAATAAAATATCACAGGCAGCACAAACCAGTGTGTGGGTAACATCCTCTGCCAAAAGCCAGTTGTGCAGGCTGATGTATAAGCTGAACCATGTCATCGATACCTGGACAACTCTGTTCAGACAGCTTGAACATTTTAGAAACCAAACTGACAGAACATGAAAGCACAGATGGGATAGCACAGAAGGGAAGGAAGCATACAGGAGATGAGGAGTCACTCTTCACTCACATTGCACAGTTCAGTGACTCAGCAGAGAGTCACTGCCAGCTGAAGTTATCAAATTTATACCTCTCTTTAAACTTAATTTTGCATTTCCCATTCTACCCCCATAGTGTTAGGTCCTGTTTTGAGTCTGCCTCCCCAAAATGGGGGAAGCTGCTTTTCAACTCTCCCCTGTCAATCTTAATTCCCCTACCCCTCCTTTTTATTCCTCCAGAATGGGGTAGTAAATCTTCAAAAGTATTTATTAATAATGTCCACACTGCCTCATGAACATCAGACACCATTTGCAAACCTGTACTATTTTTTCACATTATGAAAGAAACACACAAATCCTGTTTCCACAGTGAACTCAAGGACTGGGAAGTTACACCAGCACAGGAGCGAGACCCTGCTGCAGGCAGCCCTGCTCTCAAGACAGCTGCAGAAGGGGTCAGGGTCCTTCTTCCCCTGCAGCTTTCCTCACAAGATGGCACTAGAATAAATGGATAGGACAGGGATGTCAGACTGTAGCAGACAGGAACTTCAAAGCAGAACATGAATATAGCTTGAACAGATGAGTGCATCCTCTGTTCCTACACAGAATTTGACAAACTGCTGATGTTTGCCACGTCTGCTGCTGCCACCGCCGATGGCTGTCTCTGAAGAAAGGAATGCCAGAAACCTGTGCTTTCAACTGCAAAGTGCTTGGTGCTCCCACTGTGTGCTCTCTGCCTCAGCAGGTGTTTTTAGGAGTGTTTCTAGTCAGTACCAGGTGGTTTTACTTGCATCCACTTTTAATCTCAGGATTTTGAACGCTGACTCCAACACTTCTATTAGGGGAGCGAGCACTTCCAAAGGCGTGCGAGAGGCAGAGCAAGAGGCAGAGAGCCACGAGATGCAGGCACACGTGGCAGACCCAGCCAGGCCTGGCCACGCACCAGGGGTGCACAGGCAGGGCTGACAGAGCTCAGGCACATCGTCAGCTGGCTTAGAAACACCAAGAGAAGCCTCCAACTTGTGTCTCTCAAAGATTCCCTTTTAAATGACAATTGGAAATTACGGGGTAAAAATGTTTTCTGCAAGCAAGCAGGCAGGAACTGACAGAACAGGTGTGCAAAGATAGATTCTCACCACAGTTTCTGGGTTCCCAGCTTGCCGGCTAGAGATAGAAACTCAGACCTTGCAGGCATTCAGTCTCAGGGTTTACAAATTTTTATCTTATTACTAAAGACAGGTAGACTTAATAATTGAAAAGAGCTTCTAGCCCTTGTGTCTACTTCCATTAGTTCTCTATTTCTCCTATCTAAAACATATCCAAACTCTCTACAAAAAAATAAAAATTTCTGTATGAATTCAGTGCTTTGCAGTAAGGATCCCTAAACATGAGTTAACTAGATCTTACAAGTTGCTGACTCTAGAGCCATGACAGCCTCCCTCTTTATATTAAATCATTACAGTGTCTGTAATACTCCCTGGGTTGATGGCTGAGTATATAATTTACACGAAGTTTAGGCAAACAGTACTGTGATCTCATCAAAGGATGTTCATGAAACCTAGCTCTGCTCAAATCCACCACTGGTAGCCAACTATGAAAGTTTTGCCTTAAGAAAATTATAAATACATCTCAAGGGGAAAATGTACAATATACACTCAATAGTCTCTTCTGAAGTAAGGACAGTTTTCAGAAAGATAAAAATATTTATTTAAGACCTTTTATTTTATATTCACCTACCATGGTCTTTAGCATTTCCCAGCTGAAGCCTCAACTCACAAATCAACCCAATACAGTTAACTCTGACTAAGGAATGTATTGGTTGAATTAATTTTCCTGTACTTGTAGAGGCTTATTCTTAGATACAGGAGAGGAAAAAATGATAGCTTGTTAGAACAATGGAAGCACATACAGATCATATTGGAAGGAAGTCCAGCCTAGACACAGAAGCTCTAGATAAGCTACTACAAAATGAAAAAGGAAAAAAAGAAGTAAGCATAAGCTGTTTAAATGTGTTGAAGCTGCAGAGCAGAGGAGAGACGTGCAAGACAGGCATTTCTATTTGACCATAAACATTGTGCTGCCTCAAGTGTGTTTCCCTGAATTTTCTCAGGAGACACAACTTGTCTATCTTGACTGTGGCTGCACGTGACTATGACTTCAGTCATGTGTAGCACTGTAAAACAGCTCACTTACATTTATCAGTAATGGAAATTTGTCAGAGCCAAGCCTCAGAAATCTGATTCTGCCTATACATGGCCAGCGGTTGACTCGTCAGCACCAACAGGCAATGAAATGGACAACAAAGCATAAATGCTTGATTCTTCTATTTTTCTAAGAGAGCAGAGCTCTGATAGTGCTTCTCAAGCTAAGCTCCGACAACTGCATCATTAATTTCCCTAGGATAATCTGCCTCTGTGATTTTTAGAACAGATAACACCTAACAATGAATTCTGCACACCAATAAAACCAATGAAGTTTCACGTAATTCCTCAGTTTTGCCTTTTATTGAGAGTTCATTGATCACCTTAAAATACAAGGGTGATTATAGTCCCCCATTGCTGCCACTGAGCAAACACTTGAAGCACACTAAACTGCCTGGTGATTTACAGGACAGTCTAATGGCATCTGCTTCTGCTCAGCTGGCAGCAAACCTTTCTGCCTTCATGTTCCTGCCAATATTTGTGTAAAAGCCTTTTTAACACTCCAGCAATTCTCTGTGAAATATGATCTAAGCTTATGATTCATAAAATTGAAAACATATTAGAACACAAACTGATAACACCAACAAAATAAGACCCTGCTGATTCTTCTGTAAATGGGACTGACATTTTACACAGGAACTATCATGTTATAAATAATCTCACATTATAAAATCTTCACAGTATCTTACTGATGCTTTTTAAAAAAACTTGTTGTTAGAAAATACTTTAAATAAAAAAATTCATATTATCCTTACAGTAATATTTCATCAATAACTGTATAAAAAAGAAGCAACAGAAAGAGTTTTAGTGTCTCCAAACTTCAGAAAGCATAAAAAAAAAAAGGGGAATACAGGAAAGCATTTTTTTCTCCTTCATCAAAAGTTTAACAGTTATTGAAAAACTGAGGCTTCAGTGTTGTGAAAGTTATACTTGTAGATGAGAAATACACAAAACAGGGCAAAGATCACTTTAAAAACTACATTGTTGGAGAAAAATATGGACCAACTTGGAACTCTTCATGTATTGCTACACTTCAAACCAGTATGCAGAGCTTTCAGGCTAAATTGGACCTTGCTTGGGATGGCCAACTTAATGCAGGATTCTCTTACACTCAACATTAAATGGTAAAGAACATGGCAATGACAAGGGAGGAATTTCTTGCAGCTGGGGTGTTTAGGGTGGTTAATGGTCTGCAGTTCTAACAGAGGTCGTATCACTGACTCATGTTTTTGTGCTGGTAGTAGGCAAAGACCTTGGTGCTGAAGCCTGTGAATGGCACCTCTCAAAAGTTAACCTAATCCTGGGCAGGAAAAAAGCATCAACAGCAAAGAAGTGTTGTCTTTAGTTATTTACACATTTCAAACACAAATGATGGATTGTGTTTACAAAACCAAGCCATTATTTTTTACTAACCATGTAAATTTTAGGAGAACCTGAAGACATAGGAAGGAAGGTCTGTGTTAAAAGTTTCCTGAAAATTGTGTATTCTGTTTTTGGCTGGGTAAAATCCTGTCAGTTGTTTGTGGAAAACAAAGACTTCACTTTACTACAATGTGGAGTAAGATTTTCTTCCAAGGAATGAAGGCCACTTCATAAGGACTTTTCAAAGACTTCAAATGAAAGGAAATGCTTCTGCAAAACCCAACACGTGAGTTAGGAAGTCCACCTAGAAACAGAAGGCAAGCAGGGCACCATGCAGGCTTTGAAGAAGTCAGCAATGGTCAAGCTGTAATACAGCCTAGGTTTTTCCTTTATTTAGGTTATTCGAGCTCTTCCCTACCCTCTTTATACTAAATGAAAAATGGTCACCTGCAAAATATTAACCAAATGTCCCTCAGTATAATTTAGTTCAGAAGTTTCCATCTCTCTCTGCAGGACCTCCTGTCCTCCTCTTCTCCTGTAACTCACGGTGGATGTAGGTGTGATGCTATAAATCAGATCATTGATCTAGGTTGGAAGAAAAAATCTTGCAGGCCAAAAAAGGTAATTGCTGTAGTGCCTATAGACAAGTGGACAAGCATGAATCAAAAGCTGAGAAGTTGCCACACCAGGTATCATGAGCCCAGGAGCTTCCTAAAATCACCACTGGGGGCAAAGAAAATGCACCATGTAACTGTGCCCATAGCAGAACTTGAGGCTGTGGAAGCCTCCTAACACTTCTCAGCACATCAGTAACAATATGCAAATCTGACTGTACACTTAAAGGAAGGATTTCACAGATTTTTTTGTTTTTAGTCGTGACTTCATTTGAAACCATGCACTTTTTTGTTGTTTCCCTAAAGAAAATACTTGAGAGCAATTTTTTTTTTTAATTTTTTTTTTTTTAATTTTTGCATGCAGCTAACCTCACTGGAATCCATTTTCTGGTCTAAGGCAAAAATAAAAAAAAGCAGAACCTGGTCTACAGAAAGATTAGGAAATAATGAACTTAAAGCTTCAAATTTTAGCCAGTGACAGAACTTAGAACTTTAAGATGAAAACTTCTTTAAAACAACACCAAGAGACAATTAAGGAATGACACATACCTTATCTACTGGGAGGAAGTCATTTTCAACTTCTATTGACCTTGGTCGTAGCTTTATGGGTTTGTCTTTGAAGATATCTCCAAAGCCAACACCTTTGACCTTTTTGGGTTGGATTGTTGTGCCTCCATTGGCCCCTTCTGATTTTGTACTGCAAGAGTCACCACCATCACTCTCAGAGCCTGTAGCATCTTTTAGGCCTGTGAAAAGAAGGGATGAAAGAAGGTGTGAAGCTCACTATTTTCAGATCAGATTGTGACTGGAAAATGGTCCCTCCCACCATCCTCTCGAGGAAAACAAAACCACAAGAAATAGGTAGAGAAGATGCTCTCTGTGCCATGCACTCATTTTTGACTTTGAAAAATGACTTTATTTCATCAGATTGGTGTACTCATTAGAAATTACACCAATCCACAAATCCACAAAACATGCATACTCCAGCATCAAAACTGCACAAATGAGGATGGTGATTCCTTGAGTACCAAGAAATTCCTTATTCCTCAGGCAAAACCTCTTTGGAAAAGACCCCAATAAAAGAAAGAGTTAAATTCAGCTGTAAGGCTCCTATTGTACAAAGCCACGTAAAGCTAACAAGCAGTCAGATCAGGCACGCTGTACCTTAAATCTGTGTGACTCAAGCCAATTATGCAATTAGTATCTAAAGCTACATTACCTAACTGGGAAATATAAAGCTGAAAGCTGTTCAAACAAATTTGCAATCAAATAAGCTGCATAATATGTTCCCTGCTGAAAATTAAACCTCTCTGCAGCATAGACAGCCTCATAAGAAAAGCACCCATGCACACTCTCCTCTAAGAATATAACAAATCAAAACTGATGTTCTGATTTGCATTACTTCTTTCAGTGAATAGGAAAATTCATCTGCATTTAGCAGATTAGCAGAGGCCACAAGTGCAATAAGGTGATGTTTCAGCCACATTACAAAAGGGTGCAGCATCAGGTCAAATAACCACTGGCAGCAAAAGTGACCCACTGCAGTTTCCTTCCCTAGACCACTTAAATCTGACTCCCAAAATTAGCTGTTTCCAGGAAAACCACAGCAATTGCTGCTGCTACAGTATTAACTGTACCTAACAATAAGAAACTCAAATCCTCACATTTCCCTAACAATCAGTCATGATGTCATAGACTGGATCTTACAAGTCATAAAAAAAATAATTTCAAATAAGCTTTTCTTCTTAATTACTTCTAAATCAAGTTCAACAAAGTGATTGCAATAGATTTTCATCATAAAGGACTGACAGTGCAGATGAACCACAGAAACCAGGGCACATCCTAGGGCCTCCAGGAACAACTTCATGATCCAGAGCATGTTAAATGGGTTTCAACACCAGGGTGCTGCTAGGAAATGAAATCAGGAATTACATGTCAGATCAGGACTTTTAGCCGAAAACAGAAAAGCCATGATATGCTGCCCTGAGATTTTCTGTATTTTTAACAAAAAAGGAGTACAAAGGCAGAATTAGAGAAAGTTCCCTATTAGAAACAAACAGAAAGACTACAGATTAAGCAAAATACTTTGGCCCTCTTGCCTCCTGAATGGCTCCAACACCTGTTGTTGAACATCAGCAACACTTCTATTTCTTCAGCTATTCAATTCAATTCAAATAACATTGAACAAGTTATTTATTCCATAAGCAGTGCAGGATTGTAATTTAAATGAATAATAAATAATTATATTACAATAATTTTCTTAAATATGCCAAAGTCTTGATTTCTTTATGTTTTATTTTTCTTAGAAGGGCCTGTGAGAACACCTCAAACCTGGTTAATTATCATATTCATTATGGTAGTTAGAATGGTAGCATGCCTACCATCAGTAAAGTAAATCCTGTTCAGTACTTCTCTTCCAGACCTCAGGAAATCAGCAACCATGGAATTTAAGCATTGCTGTGATGCTGCTTGGTGCTCTGGTGGGCAGGAGAGGAGTGGCTATCCATAGCAGAGCCTTTGCACAGTGTTTCCAGCAGAGGCACTCGGAGATGCGAGGGTAAATTAAGCCAGACAGGTATAAATCTCCTTGGGCAGTGTGGCAAAGTCATTGCTCCTTTCTTGTTCCCTCCCCTTGCTCTGACTTGGGCAGTAGCTGAAGAAGCTCAAGTTCCACCAGCTGGACCTTCTCCAGCTTTGCAAATTATCAGTCACTGGGGCCCTGGCTGAGATAGAAGCTAGAACCAACTTTATTTACCACCTCCAACTGCAAAGACAATGTTCAGCCATTGACTATACTGAGCATAAAACATCCACAACTCAAAAAACTCAGACAAATTGTAGTGATCATCATCTTTTAGCTGAACAAAATATCTTGATATGGAAAATTACCCTCTGGCAAAGGTTTCTACTGTCATCCTTGCCAAAATCTCAAACTATTTTGTGATGGAGGGAAGAAGCAATGAAGACACCTCCTGCCAGAAGTAACTGATAAGAATCCATGACTGCTCTTAGCCGCTCCCTGAAATGAACAGAAAAGCTATCTTTAAAATAGGTTAATAAAAATAGGTTTTCTGCATTCCTAATTGTGGACAAAGATCTGAACTTTGGTCAGTGGATGGAATTAAAATATGAAAGTAATTGTGAGAATTACTCAACAGGTCTCACATGGACTTCAGATCTTTGAAGTTTATATGAAAGAAAGATCAGAAACCTCAAGGGGATCCAATAAGAATAAATCTTTTGTTTCCTTCTGGGTCATCACTTGTTTTTCATTACGGCATTTTCAGCTTTTATGACCATTCTTCTGTGATGAGGCATCACACTTTGTATCAGAAGCCTCACAACAGATTTCCCAAGCATCACCCATCTGTGCTCGATGATAATCCAAGAGTTGTTCATTCTTTGTTTATTCTCTATACTGCCACAGAGCTGCCTTAGTATACAGTCCTCAAAATGAAAGCAACATAGGAAATAACAGCATTGCTTCTTTTTCTTTTTCTTTTTTTTTTTTTACATGAGGACAGAATGGGCTGAAGTGTGGTCTGTCCAAAGTAAATCACATTTGAGTGATCAGATACAAAGCTCCTTCAAAGTTAAAAAGAGTTCTTCCAGATCAACTGGGAAAATGACCTAATTTAATTATTTTTGACTGACCCAAACTGAGGAGCTCTCTGCACTTAACTAAATAAATCTGTAAGAATAAAAGCCCTGCTTGTGCTCTTATTACAACATGACTGGGGTCTAGAGACAAAGGGGACAGAAGAGAAGAACTGTATGCAGTGGAAACTGTAGAACAAATCAGATAAAGTGAGGATCTGCAGTAACATTAAGAAAGAATAATGCCTTGCTTGAGTACAAAACAGTCCTGCAGAGAACAGTCTAACATGCTCTTACCATTAAAGACATGCTAAGGAGATTCTCTCTTACTTTCCTTCATGTCCTACATGATATACACTCTTCTGGTTTGGACAGAGAAAGAACTCAAAAGCAAGGATTTGCAACACTGTGCCTACCCTTGCCTAATAGATTCTGTCCTCATTTATTTTTTCATTGGGTTGTTCCCTGATACAAATACATATGTATGTATGTATATATATATAAATATACTCACGTGTATGTGTGATACATACATGTGTGTGTATATATACATATCAGTATATATCAGTATATACCAGTATTATCTATCAATTCTCTTGATGCAGCTGCCACCTGGCTCAGGTGATCTTTCCTCTTAAAACCAGAAAAATATTCCTCTTCCAGTCACATGTTTTTTTCATGGCTTTTGTTTTTGTTTGGTTGGTTTTTTGGTTTTGTTGGGCTTTATTTGTTTAGCTTTTCATGGAATTTTTTGCCACTACTGCAATAGCTTAGTAGCAGAGCACAGTTGGCTGGATAGTTTCTTCAAAAGATAAATGTAGCCCACGGACACAGCTGGGATCTAAGCAGGAACTTGAGTGACACAGACTGTTAGATTATGAGTTTAAAGTATGAAATTTTCTTCATGAAGAGGTACAGCTATCAGGGAGGTCAGGCTGCTAAATGAACATTAAAAACTGGAGAGAATTGCAGTGGTCACAGTCCCCCTCTCTGCTGACCAGCACACCCACTCAGCCTGAAACAGCTGTGGTCTACCACAGGGATGGGCTTGAGCACAAGGGTCAGGCCAGCAGCTCAGCAAACTGCTGTCCTCAGAAACACTGAGAACATCTTGCTCTTCTTGTAAGCCCAGCTATTAGGTACTTCAAATAAAACCAGTATAGGATAAAAGCTACCGTAGTCAGGCCTCTCACTAATTTTTTGCTACTTTTCTTTTTTTTTTTTTTTTTAACAGCAACTTCCCTAGAATCTGTCAGCTCTCTGTTAGCATTTGGAGAGCTGACAAGCTAAGAACATAACATCAATAAGGTGCTCACTCACTAACATGTTTACTATCACATCCATCTTAATAGCAGGACAGTTTTTCAGAATTTTAATTTCCCTTTTTTAATTCTCAATAAACATATTTTTCAAATCTTTTGGGAACATCACTTCAAATTTCTGGCTCTATAATCAAAACCTCTATTATTTTACCTAGATTTATTGTTGCTGAATCACCTGTAGCAGCACACAGTAGAGCTCAAATCTAAACTGGCTGCATTTTTCTAGTAAGTTCCTTCAAGTGTGAACAAGGGCACCATCACCAGCAAGAAGTTAAAATTCCCAGGGGCCAACTGTTCCCAGCTTTTGGCTGGAAAAAGATGTGGGTCTACAGCTTTTTAAAAACACTCAGAGTTTTGATTCTTTATTGATTCATGCTCCTTACAAATGCAAGCTCATCTAGTATTCATGAAGATTAAATCTTCTCAACACTGTCTGGAGGAATTTCGCACTTCACACATTTTTTCCTCTATGGGTACATAAGAGAGATTGTTTCCCTGAGACATTTCAAACACACCACACTCCTGCTATAGCAGTTACAGGTCTTTTGAGAGCAACATTCTGAAATGTACCAAAACAGATTAGCTCAAACAGGGATTAAAAAGAGACCAAAACATCAGACTTAATTCAGCAACGGCCTCTCAGAGCTGTGCTGGCAACAAACCAGGATTCTAAATCAGAAAGATGATAAAGGGCTGTGTAACTAAAGCTGTTAAAACAAAAATAAACAGCTGTGGTAAAATTAACTTCATTCAAAGCAGGAAACAAATTGTTTCTAAACAGCTTAAAATGGCAGGGGAGAAAAGGAAATACATTCTACGTTTACAGAGCTTTCTATTTTGAGCTATTATTTGGCAATTTAATTTTTGGTTTTTTTCTGGATTGTTCTCTCTGCTGACAATTTATGGCCCTGGACAAAAGAGGGACCACTCTGACACAGGAAAGGCCAGTGGTGTCCTGGCCCTCTAAGCACTTCTCAGCTCTGTTAAGCAATGGAAAGGTCAGCTGTTCAGAGGCACACCCTGAGACCACGCAAAGGATCTCCTGATTTGGTATAGCAGCCAGAGAGAAACACTGTCAACTGTGTTCAATAGAACAAAGAAATTTGTAAATGAAGCTTATTGAGGTTTTTACTTTTATGGAAGGGAAGGAAAGCAAGGGGAAATATGTCCTTTCCTTCTATTCAGAGAATGACAGCATGGAACACCCAGGTAATTGATCTGAATGACAAAGGTGGTGAAGTTATACATGGTAATTGCAGTAGATGAGACAGGAACTGTCCTTTTCCTCTCATACTGGTGAACAGAGAACAAATGCCCACATCCTATAAGCTCAAGTCTTGAGCTTGCTTTCTGTCAAAATCCTGCATGCTGTTGAAGCCATCCCCAGCAACATTCCAGTGTCATAAAAAACTCAAAACCAGAAAATGAAATTGGATTCTAAATACTACTGTAGAAGAAAGACATGTTGATTCTTCTTAGTTTAAAGATTAATAAATTCATGCTTTCAAAACACAAATTTATGCTTCTTTACCAACAGTGATTATACATGTACAGTGATTATACATGTCTGCTGAGGCAGACTATTTCAATAATAATAATTATTTGTTATTCTCAGTCATTCCTTGAAAAAATATAACTGTGTCAGCTAAACATTTTGTCATTTGCTTTCAACATGTTCATTTTCCTTTGCATAACAGTTCTTGCCACATAAGAAATGCCCCAAGATGCCTATGCTTGCACAAGTGGTCATGCAAGGGGAAGGGAGCGGTGCCTGGCCCCACGAAGCAGCATGCATTGAGGGTGATGCAGCACAAGCATCTTCTGCAGCACGAGCACAGAGCCATCAGTACAGAACTTGCTGGCTTCCCCACCTTCCCAGCCACTTCCCCAAGTACTGTAAGAGCAATCATTCATTCGTTCAGGAGCTCTACAACCGTAGATAACCATTGTCCTCTTCATTTGGGGACTTCACCACCCTCAGCAAGTACAGGCACGCGTTATTTCACATGGAAGGAGAGGTAAGCAGCCACAGCCAACAGGGCTCTTTACCTGCCAGTCACCAAGTACCAGTCTTTTGTGAAACTCATGGAAAACCACTTGGTAGCGGGAATCCCAATCAACAGAAGCATTTAACATTTCACCCCAGTCAACATAATTTTTCCACACAAGGCCCCCAATCCCATGTCATCAGTACATTTGTTCTCCAGCAAACAGGATGCTTATTTAATCATGAAAATATCCCTCCCCCAATTTTATAATTTTTCTTTCTCAGATGTCATTTTTCATTGCAGCATCTGTAGCAGCTGTGTATTTGATACAAGCACTTTTTTGCGAGCAAGTTGTAATAAGGTGAGTGAAATACTAAGTTGTAACTGTTGTCTCTTCAGAGCTGTTAAAATCCACATTCAGGTTTCTCATTTACCTTTGCTCATATTCTGACACCCCTAAATGGGGTTTACAACATCATAAATACACCAGCCATGTTGATTTCTCAGAATTCTGACCAGCCATAATTCCTCAAGAATTAAGGGGAGAGAGACAGATAAAAAAAAAAAGGTAAAAAAAAGTGATGGAGCAATAGAAAACACAAAACACAATTGAGGTTACTCACGAATGTTTCTGTTTCAACGATCCTGATCTTCTTCCATTATATCTAATAGCTATTACTGACAGCATTGTGGATCCACATATAAGGAAAGAGAGGCAAATATTTGTCAAATCAAGCATTTTATCTGCACTGTTCCTCAGTTATTGCATCTTTGAAGAAAAAGAAAGCGAAGCAAGAAAGAGAAACTAAATCAGTAAAAATAAAAAAAGTAGAAATCCAAGAAGCGTTGCTCGTGGAGGTGCAAGAAAATTGCAGGATGAGAGAAAAGAGGACTGTGATCAACAAAATGACAAGTTTTTTGTTGCTGTGTGTTCTCTCTTCACCCAGCATGTGCAGTAGCAAAGATTTTCTGACAGCAGGTTGATGAGCAGAATGCCAAAGGAGCTGGAATTGCTGCTGAGCAGAGCCTGGCATACCTCATGACCAAGAAAGCCATGTCAGCATATAAAGGCAAGGCTGGGTTTTTCTGCAGGAGATAATCTTGCATATTTCAGTGGAAGGTATCTCTAGAAGCAGCAACTGATTCAACAGCTATTACAGGCCTTGGTTAAGTAAGAAAATTTCTTTTAAACACAGCAGTTGGAAAATGGCTTTCAAAATAAAAGTTTTTAGCACTGAGCATGTGTTTGTGAAGTAAAAGCTCACAAAAAAATCTAAGCTTGATTACAAAGTTGAGCAACACTTCATGCAATGTGATACAGGTGAATCCAAGCATTGCCTAGGCATAACTAATCTAAAGTTATTAATTGACTCCAGCTTAATTTATGGAGAAATCAGCAAGTTGAAATTAGAGCAGCTGTGAGTTGTTTTAGCCAGACATCCCCAAATGAAAACAATTCTGTGGAATATCTACAAATGGTTTTCACTGGAGACATAAGCTCATGGATATTTGCCTAAAAATATGGGCCATAGAGGAGATGTGAAATGGAAGGAGCTGGCTGTACCATCAGTCAGCTTGTTCAGGAAGAGCATGATGAGTAAGTCTGCAGGAAGTGAGCTGTAAAGAGATGGAGCAGGGAGACTAAGAGACCCTCCTTTTTGTGCGTTAGTTTAGGTAAGAGAATCTCTGATAGCAACAACAGTGCAAAGCCTCGTTTTAAGACTTCCCTGATTTTGTGTATTAGCCATTCCTCAGTCCCATTTCCTATCCAAAAAGCAACAAATAGGCCATCCAAGTGTAGCTGGATATCTGGCCTTCTGAGATGTAGCTTTGTGGATAAAGTAACCTCTGCAGCATGAAAAAACATGCAAGTCTCAACCAAATCGCAAGGAAGGTAGAATCAAACCTCCAGGTAAACCAGCTCCAGGTAGTATAAATAGATACCCTTTATCAGCTTTAAAAAACAAAGTTTAGATGGGTGTTTGCCCAAAGCAATGAGAGACAATCTACTGTGGGTTAAGCTGTTTTCTTGCAGCTGGTTATCAAGCTTTCCTCTAGACATCCATCCAAACCTGTCCTCTGAAATCAGTTTGATGCAATTTATTTTCTGTGATATGGCACAACCATGGGCCAGTGTGATTAAGAAGAACTAAATGCAGAGCTCTAGCACAACTGGAAAGGCGACTGAATTCTTCCTGGCTTCAGTTATGCTTACTTTAGATGACTTGAGAAGATGGGAAGGATCATTTGGCCCTTAATGAAAAACAGGCTGGGCATGGAGAGCAGGCTATTGTAAAACTTTTAAAGGTAATGTTAGGGCAGCACGACCAATAAGATTGTGAAATTAAAGGCTCCAATGGCAGACCTTGCATCTGATTTGAAGCTTCATCTTAAAGTCCAAAGTCAAGCATACTGGAAATTAACTTCATAAATCCTTATTATGCTCATCAGATGGTGGATTAGAGGACATGATGGTCTAAGAACCGTGAAAGAAGCATGAAATTTGAGTGATTGATAAGCGGTCATGGAGATATAACGTGAGAAGCAGCACAAAAATTTGAAGACCACTAGCCACATAGTCAGCTTCAGCAAGAGCAAGGGCTTGGCTGGAGCTTGCAAAGAGCTGCAAAATGAATTCTGGTAGACAGGAAGATAATTTTCCATGAGGAAATACTCAGAGCTGCACACATTCACAAAGATTTTTGTTCAAAAAAGGATCAGATTTGTTAAGAAAAAAAAAAAAGTGTAAGAACAAATATCGGAACAGAACAATGCCACTTCAACTACTTAATCCTTTGCTGTCAACATGCAGGACAGATGTCCTCAGAGGTAGAAGGCCAAACACTCCCACCCATAAAGGAGGAAGAAGGGTAGCACAGCATGGATCCTCTCAAGAGAAAGCTCTCTGGGGCAAAAGCAGATGCCAAAGCTAGGACAACATCCTGTTCACCGGAAGACAGAACTGAACACTTTGCACTTAGTCACACCAAATATGAATCTTTTAGCTAGATTTCTCCATGAAGAAACAGGTGGAAGGACAGATTTCTGTCTTCCTTGTTTCCTCAGTCTTGCATCTGATGCAACCATTCTCTCTTTTTCTGTATTACCAGGGCAGTAAAAGAACACGAAAAGCAGGATGTGGCCTTCTTTTAAAAAGCAGAGGCCAAAAACCTGAACATGAAACGAAAATAGCTTTATATCTTTTACTCTCCTTGGCAGAAAAAATGTATCAGCCAGAATGCTGTGAGTAATAACTGTCAAAGACAGAATGCCAAATGAAGAGCATGCAGTAAAGTAAAAATTTTAAAAATCACCAAAAAGGAAAACTTCAAACAAACCAAAACCCAAAATATATTTTAAGAAAAGCAAAGCATACTTTATGAGTTCAACAATCACAATAGGAACTTTACTTTTAGAGCAGATGGACTTTTGATTCAAAGATTAGCGGTGATTATTAACAGTCTTCTCATTTCAGGGGGCAAAAATGATGGGACTAAATAGTCTTAGATTCAATCCATAGCTGAGATCAAAACATCCAATGCAATTCACAATTTATGATGGGCTTATGCACGTACACTGTATGGACACGGAGCACACACATGCACAGGGGGAACAGGTGCATTCTCATTGCATTAAGGCTGGGCAGTTCATCAGCAGCAAACTGACTTCAGCTTACAGACAGATATATGCACGGAGAGTAGCCATAAGTGGGTAGCAGTGGCACAATTTACAAGTGTAGATAAATCAAACAAGTTCAGAGGACCGAAGCTATTGCTGGATGATTTTGAAACACACTCACTGTTATAACGTCTGTAGCTGTCAATCTTTGCCGGTGCCACTCTGTACAGAATTGTCCCTTCAAAGGCAGATTTTCCTGACAGCAGACAAGAGAAGGAAAGACAAAAAAAAAAAAAAAAAAAAAAAGAGAAGGGGCAGGGTGGGGGTAAAGAGATCGAATGACGGTAAAAAGAAGGGAAAGGAAGAGGTTTTAATCTGTATTTTCAGTCAATGACATTTAAAAGCCTCATTAGCAAAATGATGAGAATATTGACAAGCAGATCTGATTGTACATGAAGTTGAAATATTCTTACTGCACGTATGTCAGATAACAGAATCTCATTATTTTGCTAAAGCTGTTATTTACATTGTCCAACAGAATGTATTCTTCTTAGGTTTGGTCTGTTGTCCATCAAGTTGTGAGACTTGCAAATAAAATTGCCTGTTTTATGCAGCCTTGCACAGAGGAACCCTGAAAAAATATTATTAATTCAATGATGTACTCACAGTGTCTCAATATTCCTGATGCAGATGTAGTGCACTTGACAAGCACAGCTTGTTCAAAGTCCAAACAGGGTAATAAAATACATCTCTCTAATGTACCAGGATCCTGTGAGCATCAGAAGCACTATGTCTTCCCAAGATGACTTATTGGAAATACTTTGGACAAGGGAATTGGTCTTAAACAGTGTTTAGTAGAAAGGATAGGACACTAAAACCTGAATAAATCAGTTTTTCAGCTAAAAGCTTAATGAGGTGTGACTTGGCATTGACATTAACAAAAGCAAAATTCTAAAATTAAGAGGGAAAACAGGAAAACAACTGAAACCGAATCCCACTTCTCATCTTAGATATTTAAGATAACATTTTTATTATAAAATGCATTAATTTATTTATTTTCATTGCTAGTGAGATAGCTCATGCTCTGATATTTAGGACATGAAATTCAAGTGAAGGTAAGGGCATGAGCAGCTGTTTTGTGTGTCAGATTTAAAAACCCAGGCAAGTCCAAGGATACAACAATGCCAGCCCAGCTTGTTCCCAATCTCTCCTACCATCAAAAAATTGACGCCTTCCGTAAAATTTTATAGCAAAAATAGCCAGTATATGTGAATTGTCCCAACACAGAATCACGCCCAGTTTGGTACCAAAAATGTGTGGGATTTTTTTTCTGCTGTATATCATTCTGTTGGACTTTCAGACAATAAAAAGCTACACTTATTTATATATTATAAAAAGCTGATTCTTTCTTTCATTCTTACAGTTTAATTAATAACAAAAGATTGTCATTGCCTTTGTTTTATGTAATGAGGAAGTAAAAATGCTACAAATCCATCTTTACACTTTCTTTTTACAAGGTACCATTACAAGAGTGCTATTAAAACAGTCAAACATCAACCCACTGCTAAGAGAAAAGTAAGGTAAGCTTCGTGACACTGTGGAGAGCCAGAGCGACAGTAATAGAAATCTGAAGTTTTAAGAACACAGAACAGAGGAGGTTGCCTGACTGAAGCATCAGCTGATGAGACCATGATCAGTTCTAACTCCAGCAGCCAGGACTTTTCAGGGGCCATCACTAACATATTCTAAAAATAGTTGATAGATACCATGAGGCCCAGCTGTACCTTAGAAAATGCACATCAGAGACAGCAAGACACAAAAGGCCACCTTTCAATGCTGTCATGGCACTGCTGTGAACATAGTAAATGCTTTTTGAAATAACCTCCTCAATGTTAAATTGCAATTATCTCAAATAGAATTTTTTTGATTGCATGTTGACTTTCTGCTCCTCTACAGGCTGTATTGACAAAAAATGGTATTGAAAATAGTCTTAAAATTAATACTCTATCTCTGAGAAATATGAAAAATTATCTTATAATCCATGTATCTAATATAGTAATAAATTGCTAATGCATACTGCCCATTCATGCTGTAACAGTTGGCCCAAGAAAAGCAATATTTTCATTTAAGAGCATGCTTTAAAGAAAAAGGAACTGCTGTTTACTCTAAGAGTACCTGATCTTGTCTGTACTTACATTCCAAAATGTGCTTTTGAAGACAAGAAATTTGGCAATCACCTTACAGCTGGGACAAATGCTTTGAAATCAGAGAAACAACCCCCCAAATATTTAGATCTTGCAACAGTCTTGTTTTCCAGCCTGCTGAGCACTCACCATCGAGGGGAGGCCCAGTTCCCAACCCTTTCCAAATAAGGGGCAAGCAAAGTCCCACAGTCAGGATTCAGAAATATTCGACGCTTCCAAAACCAGCCCCAGGCATTTTCAGAAAAGGAAATTTTTGCTCTGAACAAGCTTCTGAGGTTAGTCTATGGCAGAGCATGAAAAGAAACCAAGATAATTTCTTCTGGCTGCTTACTCTGATCTGCCATAAAATATACATGGACATAACAAAACCAATAAAATCATACAACATTTTTCTCTCCATTGGGGCTGCTGTAGATTGTAACAGAAGGACAGAGAAACACAGGTTTTTATAAACTTTATTCCTAAAAAGCCAAGTTATGTAATTTTTCTCTTCTTCTTTCACTTTGAGTTCATCAAAATTACATTTGCCCTTCAAAAATTCTCTTTATAGATGGTCAGTAAAATGTGATTTAAAAATCAAGTTTAATTAAATTTAACCAAGACATTGAATTTAATTATTAGCTTAAAAATACTCGTGTGTTTGCACAGTGCCAGTTCTCCACATATTCCATGCAATTTTCCCATGTCTCAAAGTAAATCTGCCAAAGTATTACCTTATCCAGTCTACAAGTTGGGATGAGCAGTTCAAGGCTGCTGCTCAAGATTGCAGAGCCAAGCCCCAACCCTTTCTAGGCTCCTCTGAATGCTGAGCAGAACCTCAGTGGCTGCCCAGGGTCTGAGTTCAAACCCTCACCCAAGTACCAACTTCATAACCTAAAATTCACATTCAAGGCTTCCACCTTGCAAAGTCCTGTGATACAGATATATTTGAAGCTCTCACAGAAGCCGTGAATACACACCTTTCTGAGATGTAACCTAGAGCATTTCAACAGTTCTTCTAACCTGATGGCCAAATCTTCCAGGGTTTACTTGTTCATTTTTAATTTTACTATGTTTTCAGACTAAACATGGAATGAAATTATCGTTCCTAGTCAGTTGTGTAAACTTGTTGAAATTTTTGGAATCTCATTATGGAGATTTTCAAATCCAGATATTCAGTGTGCCTGAACAGAGCCTCATGAAGCACTATGTGTTACAGAGCAACAGCTGTGTCAATCACATAAACCATATATAGAAAAAATTGAATTTATGTATATTTCCCATAATTCTCCTAAGGGAATGCAATTATTAAATTGACAGTTTTACTTGAAGAAAAAATAAATAAAAACCCACTAAAATCCCCACAATCTCAGCATTCCTTGAGTCACTGTCTCCCTCTCAGGAGGTTTACAATGCTCTTTTGTTTTATAGATATATCTAATAGCTCCTCATCTGAGATAGCCACAAAGCACCTCCAAAAAATTAAAATAAATATGGAAAAGAAGGAAATCCATCTCCCACCTACAATTACCCTCAATTCATTTAAAGATACAACAACACTTCTGTTACTGCTGTCTTCTCCATACAAGTGGAGGTTTGGGTTCCACTGACAGAACCAGCACATAAATTCAAGCCTGAACAAAGCATGGGTCTTAATGGACATCAAAAGTTAATGTTTTGTGGCTACTTTTGCACACCCCAATGTATGTTTTTGCTAAAAGCCATTTTTAGGAGGCTTATTATGAAGTATATATTACCAAATTACCAAATTACCTGGGGAAAGAACATTCATTCATTCATTCATATAAAAAAATTGGGATATTCCATCCTGAACAGTATCACCTACCTTGTTCACTTATATAGTGAACAACATTACAGACTCCAGAGCTGAAATTACTCTACACAATTAGTTCTTCCAAGATGCACTGTGTTTATAATGAACATAATTCATGATAGCATATGCAGGTTATAGAAATCAGTTTGCAATGTCACCGAAATGTGCACCTTTACTTAATGCCCTTTCTCCCTCTCCATCACATTAAAATTATAAAATTTAAAATATGCTCATTCCAGTCTGGAGAAATGTTACATTTAAATATCTTGAACAACACTGACCACAAGATTAGGTCACCAGTATACATTCACACATGAAAATATACTCCATTACAAAAAAAATATAAAATATTTTCATCATTGCAGAAGTTAAGGTTTTCAGGATTGTATTTCTGTGGTATGGAATAAGGGTGACAAATTTACCTTAAGTGGAAAAATGAGGAAAAAGATGAAAGTGTTATAATTTTCTACCTCTTATTGACAGAGTTAACTATAAAGATTTTGGTAAATTTCAGCTGAAATCAGCTTACAAAGGTCTTGGTAGTCCTTTGACTTCTGCCTATTCAGAGACCTCGGGAGAACACTACACAGCAATGAACATCTGCAGTACTAAAAATAGGAAGACCTTGGCAAGTATTGTGAAATTAGCCTGAAATATGCAAATAGAATTGCCTTTTTTTTTTTTTTTTCTTCTGAAGATTCAGATGTGATCACTGAATTAGGAAAAAAAAAGTAATATCTGCTTGAAAAACATAAAACCATGAAGACCAACAACTTTTTATTTCATGTAACAGCACAGGTTGTTTTGGTTCAGGTTATTCTCCCCGAGAAGTTATAAATAGGACAGACAACCCACTCCCATGTTTATACTATTGCAAACTTAGTTACCAAACAAGCTTTTCACCTGCAGCAGTACCGGCCCACTGTAAATGAGAGAACAAAGTCCATGTCCCAGTTCTGGCCTTTTTCCCTTTGGCTGCTGGGGCAGTGGGTGTCAGGGGTGATAGAAACATGCTCAGCACCTGGAGGGAAAAAGTGCTGCATGTCCCACACCAGTAAATATGAATCCTTAAGTCTTTGGTTGTTATAGATATCATGGCATTTTAATCCCTCCACTTTCAATAAGCCACTTTGTAAATATTTGGTTGCTTTCTATGTCTAAAAACAAAAAATCCCTTGTAATTAATTTTGAAATACAAATGCAGTCATCATCATTGCCTTCTCTCTTAGCCTGTTGTGGCTCAGCAAGTCTTACACAGCTCAGAGAGCACTGACAATGCTGCAACTCAGGTAGCCCTGCAGGTATACATAAATCATCATCATCTGACCCTTTCAGCATAAATTAAAACATGGCATTCAAAAACACTTCCAAGAAAGAGATAAGAATGTGCTGTTCTATCAATGTGTTATGAGCTAAAGACACAGACATACATACAGAACATCAATAATAAGTTTTTCCTTACTTGACTTTATTTGCTCCTCCTGTACTATTCCAACATCATCAGAATCAGAGAGCTCCTTTATGAAGTTGGAGGGAAACATGCCAGTCTTTCCATTAAGTATTCCTTCCCACCAGCCCTCTTCCACCTGCACCGACACAAAAAAAAGAGGGGTTTTACATAAGCAACACTTTACTGAGTACTATTATACACATTCAACAAATGACAGCAATGGCTCTGAATAGTTTATATTAATTAATTTCAGGTATAAGGAGCACATGGCATAGGCTCCAAGCCAGAACTCCTTTTTATTTTTTTCTTCATAACTGAAAACAAGAGAGATGCATGAACCCATCTGTAAATGTCAGCAGTGCTGACAGCAGTCAAAAGCTTGGACAAGAATTACATAAAAGGATAAAAGAGCAACTAGAGAGCACAGGGTGTCTCTACATTTCAATTTTTATGGATATCTATTCAATCAGCAAATTTTCAGTGCACACTGTGGGGCTATTCAAGACCATCTTAATGGATGTGATTTGTGGATTCTGTTCGAATTCCCTAAGTAATTGTGGTGGTTTTTATTTCCCACTTTTTTTCTTAAATGCCAAACTACCATATTAATCAATGGTGAAAGAGAAACACCTACAATGTGTTACTCAGAGAATCTAATTTAGAAATCTTAATATAATGTAAACATCCTTGCCTTCCCCATCAAAATCAGAAATTTTGTATCTTAAAAAATAAGAATGGTGCTACATCATTCATGTGTAAATGTAAGAAACCTGTGGAGAACAAAGAACAGTACTAATGCATATTTGAATAGAGATTTACAAGGAGGTACTGAGATACATAATAATGATAGTGTCAGGAGGAGGAGGGACACTACCTAGCCAAAACCCAAGAGAAAATATCACTTTAAAATTGCAAACTCCCTCCTCTATAACCCATTCAGGATTGAATGGTGGTGTCGGGCACTGAAATGACAGCTCTTAGAAATGCCTTTAGGTTATAATGGCACAGCAAGAAATGACTGATTATATGCATCAGCTAAACACACCCTTGATAGATAAATGTTTTTCATCTGTCAGACACTGTCCCTTCACTAAAAACATGACACGGGAGGACAGTGTAGATCTGTGACACATCAATCTCCAATAATGTTTGACTCATCTCTCTCCTGCCTATCCTCCCCCCATTTATGAAAAGAGAAAATTAACTTTACTGTTAAAAAAAACAACCCCACACTTTAAATGAAGCTAGATAATTATTACAGAAAAAAATTCTATGAAAACTATCTTCTTACTTATCTGTGAAAAACTTGAGTCCTTAGAAAAGACATCTCATAATAATACAACCAAGTATTTCCTCAAAATATAGAGGAATGTATGCTTTTTTTCAACTTAGCTACATGAGACATTTCAGTAAAAACCCCGTATTTCTTGATCTCATGAGCTGAATTTTTGTTTTCATTTGGAAGTGGCTCAGTCCAGACTCATTTAATCTCAGTATCTGTCCATGACAAAACTTCCCCCCCTCCAATGCCTCAGTAGTATTCCCAGCACATCTCTGGGAATTATCTTGCTCTTCTTACTATCTTGCTGCTACTTCAGAAGATAGAATACATATCACTCAATCACTTCAGTGAGGTGGAGGTTTTTCAAATCACAGTATCAGAGTCTCTAAAAGGTAATATTTGATTACTTCTCTCCAGACTAATAAAAAGCAACACGGAAAACTGAAACTGCATGACACACAGCACTCAGACTCTATAAATTAATTATATTGCTAAAGATGATTCGATGTAAATTTTATATTCCATATAAAAATATATTGTTATATAGAAAAAACACAAAATGGCAAAGACTCTTTGAGCTATAAAATATTTCAATTTTTCTAATGCAGTATTCCCAGGTGGCTATATTGATTAGAGTTAAATATTAAACCACGACTGCATTAGCTGATTGACCAGAAGATGAATCAGAGGATTTACAGAATTCCCAAGATCCCTGCTTTGCAAAATGCTGAGATTACTTGACAAATAATGTGACCAATATCATTCAGACGCAACTTTTCCTCTAGTAATTTTCACTTGCTTACTTCTTCTAGAGTAACACTTCAGAGTTTTCTTACCATTAACATTAGCACTCTTTATGTGATGTGTTGATTTACAGACCTCTATCCATATGTACAGAAATATATATACAGAGATCTTTAGACAGCTAAAACTAAAATCCACATGAGTATACTCAGATCATCCATTAGCTTATTTTAAGTTTTTCAGCTGACTGAAAAGTTGTCTAAAAATATCATGTCATATTCAATAATTCTACAAATTCAGAAAAAAATCTAAAGCAAAGCCCAGGGTTTTTTCCACAAGGAAAATGCAGAATCATGTTAGCAAGACATTAGAGATTGAGGTCAAACTGGGCCTCCCAAAGATTTATTAGGGAATTTTCATCAAAAGTATCAAAAGCTTAAAGTATTTTAAACATTAAAGCTACCTGCTACATGTCCTTAAGCCTCAAAACACACCAGCTAAAGATGAATCCATGCAATATAAGACACTAAAATACCTCCAGGTTTTAATTATTCCAAACTGGGGCATTCCATTAACCACATGGTTTGGTAAGTTGCAATAATTCACAGCCAATATAACCTTACAACTGAAAATCCATTATTCATGGGGGGCAATCCATCTGGCGGCACGAGCTCAATAAAATTTGTTACCCTGCTATTAAAAGAAAGTGTTTGCAGATTTTATACATTTACATCCTGATTTATGCCCAGCATTCATGTGCTGAACCAAACAATCTAAAAAGAGGAGGGATTCATTTGGCAGCCCGTGTCCTATGCTGGAAAAGAAGTTCTACCAGCAGCTGGTCGCCAGAAAATCTAGGACTGCCACAGCTGCTTGCTTACACCTTGCTATATAATTAATAGGCTAAAGTTGTTAAATGATTAAAACGTTCAGCTCTTTGGAATCACTGACCTAAAGTGTATTTCCAATAAACTCCTATATTGGCCTGTTCCACAAGATGTTCTACAACCTGAAGCTTTGCCTATTAGGCTGACAGATTACTTACAGTTTAGCTAAGGCAAATGAGGAAAGCTCTGAGTCAGGAAAGGTTTCAAATGGAAGAAAGACTCCCTGGATCATAACAGAGTCTCTCTGGTCTGTTGAAACTAAAACACAGTCCCAGGAATAAAAGCAATGCCAGAGGCAGGCAACAGGAAAGAGAGAAACTCAAGGTCAACAGATTTTCTTCTGCTTTGAGAGAACTAGAGCACAGAAAGCAAAGGAGAAAAAAACTCTTTTATCTTATAAATTATAATGGAAAACATTGAGCTCAAAGGACAAAAGCAATCACATGTTGAAAGGAAATTAAAAACATAGATTCCCAAGAGGCAAAATAAACAGATCACATCCACTGCCAATGGGAAAATTCATTTTGGAAACAAGACCTCAAAAGAAGATGGTGCCTACAGTGCCACTTGATGGCTTATTTTGGGAGTGCATTCAGAGAGAGCCATGCCCCTAAGGTGTCAGACATCCCTTGGAATTCTGGTACAGCACAGTATGTCTGGAAACTGTTTGATAACTCAGGTGTAGAAGGTAAAAATTAAAAACTGCACAAGTGCTTTGTACTAGGGAATCTTTTCAGCTTCAGGTTTCTCTATTTTAAAGTGTCAAAATGCGCTTTGGGAATTTTTGTTTGTTTGATTTTGTGGTTTGGGTTTTTGTTGGGGTTTTTTAACATCATCTTCTGAACAAGAAACTGAGGGACTGCAAAAACAATCACGTAGAACTTGGATGACCTTAAACAGACTCAGTGGTACTTACACCCCGATTTCCCCAAAAACAAGTCCCCTACCACATGAACTAACCAAATAAGAAGTCATCATAGAAATCCTCGTGAACAAGCTGTTAGAAGACAATCTGGAAAAACTGTCACAGCATTCCACAGAAAAGAAACTGAGAGAAGTGAAACCACAGCATTTATTCCCAGCTGTTTTCTTGTAATTTATACAACTCTATATTTGTGACACAGACCAACCCCTCACTACAGTTAAATATTCATTATTTATCTAATATTTAACATAATATTCCCCTTTCAACTCTATAGATGCCAAAATAAGTCACTGTAAGTGACAGTCCAGCTCAATCCCCAGTTTATCCTGTTCTTGGACATGGGTTGCATCACTTTATCTGATAACAAGAACAAAAAAAACCCATCCACTAATCTTGCAAATAAGAGGACACAGATTTGTCAAAATTCAGTTTGCATTTTTATAATTTCAAAGGAGTTACTGATAGATTTTGATCATGTAATATATGACAATGTTACCTAAATGTCAAAGAATAAGCTCAGTGGTATTACAGAAGGTGTCAGGCAAAGACTTGTGAGCTTAACTCCATGCACTACACATTGCCAAAAAGCTGACTTCTCAGCAGGAGGAGGCCAAGAGGTGACAGCAACACAGTGACAGAGTAATCCCAAACGCAAGCAGCCTCAGAACTCTTGAATGATGTGCCAAATGTCCTTACTCTCATGGTACAGGTTAATTATCTGGCATCCTATGAAAGTGTAAGGGTGAAACATAATTGGAATTTAGATATTTGCATTTAATAAGACAATTAGTTGCAGTTGTATTTTGGAACAACTGTAATTAGAATTAGAGGTAATGAGGTAGGAAAATGACAAGCAAAGAGCTATCAATCACACAATAAATGTGAACATAAACAATGATGAAATTGCTTCTCTTTTTAGCTTTAAATGTACTTTTAATTTAAGTCTGTTAATTAATGTCTCATGGGTATCAGTGTCTCTGTAGTTATGGAAACCTATTTTAATGACAAGAATTTTATCTATTGTGTTGAATGTTTGATCTCATTATAATTAATTTCTATCTAGGACAAATAGGAAGGAACTGTGAATTCTGAACACATACAGCCTCTAAGGATATCCATCTGGTGACAAGTTCAAAACTCACACTTGCTGTTGTTTCAATCCACTCTACAGCCCCAAATCACTTCTGCTGAAACAGGAATTTCCCATTCAACCTACTACTACAGGCATAAAAAACCCTTTCAAAATATCTTATCCCATCTGTTGGCACCAGGAGGAAGGATCAGGGCAGCTTTGGATGCTATTACATATACAGAGGTGGGAGAAGGGAAGACATCATCATCCTCAGCACATCCCCCTGTGATGTCAGTGTAACAAATTTTCACTGGGAATCTGGGGAAACACCCTTGGGCACTGCTGGAGGCAGCTGAGACTTGCGTTCCCTTCTGTCAAACCTGTGCTGGAGGCAGTGATCTTGAACAGGCTTGGGGAGGAGCAGAACGCACTAGGTTAAGAATGAAGTCCAATTAGGTTTTCTTTGCAGCAGGAAAAGTTTAATGAATTCAACCAAAAGCAACATTTCAACACTGTTTTTTTTCTTCTCAATAACTACATGAAGATATATAGACAGTATATTGACATAAATAATACCAGTTTTAGTTTGCTGTAACTCAGTTAGGAATTGATTTATTTTCAACTAAACATAAATCTATGGAGATTTTAAAATATTAATCCAAGCCAATTAAACCAATGACTTTAACTGATACAACTTTCTTAGGAAGATACAATATAACACTGTCTGTGGGAATCTGAGACCTATTCATGAATAAAAAGATGGGATAAGAGAAAAGAGCGACTGGAAATGGAAAGTGAATGACCATTAATGTTCCAATTACACTGAACTGCTCTAAATAATGTGAAAGATACCATCCAGTTTTTAATCCTGAGTAATGATAAACAAAACCTGTATTTTACAAGAATATCTCAAATTGTTGCCTTTGTGGAAAGGCTTTTTCTGGTTCTTTGGTGAGGGGGGTTCTGCAATAATACAGCATGATTTTGGCCCTTGCAAAAAAACCTCAATTTTTACAACTGAGGAAGACCTATTTTTTAAATAATAAGTCACCCACATCAAATATTTATCATTTGAAATAAGAAGCATTTTATAATGACAAAAACGCTACGAATTCTATTTCAATGCAATGACTCTTTATGGGCATTACCTAAAAGCAGAAGAGTTAACAACTAAATTAGCACATTTGTTGGTGCAACTTTCTGCACCAAATTAAGTTCCTGTTTCAAAAGAAATATTCTACTACCACAAACTACCACATCTACTTTTTCGAGGAACTAACACTATTATGATAAGAGCAGAAGAGGAAATTACAACTAATATTCAACATCAACTGCTTGATATCAACCATAATGGAAAATAAAAGTCCCACAACAATACTTCCTGAAGCACTGAGAATTTTTTTTTAATTTCCTATTTTCCCTGTTCCACCAGCTAATCTACTTTCACCCAAAAGAAAACCCCAAGCAAGTTTCAAAAAACATGCTCTTAACTACAAGCACACACATGGAATGTTTCACTTTTATAGTTCTACATTTTACAATTTTAATGCAGACATTTTCAGTCTCTTTTGGATATAAATAAATCAGGTATGTATAATTATACATACAAGTTTATAAATTTATAAAAAACTTTATAAATTATTATAAAGTTTTTCAATTTTTAAAAAAGACTAGAGATACATTCCAAAAGTGTGTCATCTAAATTATTTAATCATGCAATTCATTCAGTAGAGTTAATTTGTTGGCTGGATACTAGGAAAAGATTTTATTCCATTAATTTACTCTTAAAAGACACAGACTTAAAACTTTTAAGAAGCATTTGCATGGCCATGTGAGGTCAAATATACCTCAAATTGCCCAATGAAAACAGTTCATGTGACGTCATGAAACTCATTATAATATGGAGTTTACAATATATTCAGAATATGCTCTTATAACCTTGAAATCCCCCATTACAAAACTGCTCACAGACAGAATAAGGTCGGTTAAGCGACACATATGATTCCAGGGGAAGAATGATGTGCAGGGCTGGTGTGCACAGCTAGGTTAGAGCAAAACCAGTGATCACTAAGCTTCTTACATTCAGATGTGAGAATTTAATCTCTTATAAGAAAATGCTGGATGCCATGTAGATTACAGTAGAATTTATACTCTTTTCGAATTGATTGCGTAAGTGACAGATGCAAGAAAAAGTAAATTAACTATATATCCTTGAAAAGAAAATAAATGTTGAATTACTGCTGAGTCATGACAGAGAAAAAAATCCTACAAATAAATGATACAAACTGCAACATACATTATATTGGCTGCCTGAGCAGACTAAGGTCTTCTTTTTAAAGTTAAATAAATATGATAAAATTAGTCTAAATGCACTCTACTAAAAGGATGCATGCTATCATTTTGACTTTCATCCTCATGTTATTAAGCTCCAGAAGATATTTGTAAAATCTCTAATGGAACGCTGAAGCTTTTGGGAGCAAACACCATTTCTTGATCCTGCAGCCAGGGTCACCCATGCAAAGAAAATCTCTGTCTCTCTGTCCAAGCTTGCATAATTTGTTCCCAATTTGTGTAATTAATTTTCTACATCCAGTTCTAACCAAAATAAGTGCACCTTGAGGTTTTTTATTTGGTTTTAGGTTGGTTTTTTTAAACTGATTAAGACCAAAATTCTTAAAATTTGCTGCCAAAGAAGACAAAAGGTGAACTCCTGTAGAGATTCAAGTAAATTTCTTAAATATGTTTAACTTTGCAAAGATAGTTTTTCCCCGTAACTGGCTTACTAAAACCATGAAAAGTTTCTTCTGCTATAATCTTTGGTTCTTCAGAGGTATGAACTCAAGAGCTCTGTAACATGAACTTAGAGCTCTTTCCCTGAACAGAAGTCTGAAACATCAACTGATGTAAAACCAGCAGAAATGGTACAGGGGGAAAAAAGAGTCACAAAATCCACAAGAAAAAAACCAACAACCCCTAATCCCCAATAGTAACCCCAACCAGACAGGTCAGTATAGTAGAGAAGAAAAATGTCTGGTTTAAATTATGTACTGAGGAACTTAGCATGCATGAGACATGTCAGAAATACATGTATGTATATTCAATTAAAGATGTGCTCACCTCCCCCACAACTTCAATGATGTCGCCAACTTTTAATTCCAATTCATCTTCATTTTGAGGCATATAACTGAAAGCCACCTGACATCTCCTTCTTCTGTTTCTCTCTCCTGAGGGAAATGAAGGAAATAGGGAAATCATAAAATGAAAATAAAATTCCATGTCAAACACAAGCCAGGGGAAATTATTAAAGATGAAAAATTATTCTTTGAGCATTGTTATCATAATCTTTTTTTCGTATTTTTGTGATACTTAGTCTATCTAGATTTAACTTATAAAAAGAGCCAAAATTTAACTAATTGCGCTTCCTAATGACAAGATGGACAAACTTCACCCAAAGGATCTTTCCAAGTGCATTGGCTACAATTTCTCTTCTAGGCTAATGCTCTATACACATGGTGTAGGCAAATCCAGAAATTGGAGAGATGGGGAAGGGATCCAAAGCTTATAAGGAAATAAGCTCTCAGCTGTATATTTTTGTCCACAATTCTTCTACAGGTGTAGAAATAACTCATTAACCGTTCTTTATATTTTTTTCACAGAATCACAGAATTGTTTAGGTTGGGAAAGACCTTTAAGACTGTTTAGTTCAACTGTTGATGCAGCTCTCCCAAGACCACCACTGAACCACATCCTTAAACCCCACATCTACATGTCCTCTAAATACCTCCAGGAATGGTGACTATACCACTTCCCTGGGCAACCTGCTCCAATGCTTGACAACACTTTCTGTGAAGAAAGTTTTCCTAAAATCCAATCTAAATGTCCTTTGGACCCAACTTGAGGCCATTTTCTCTTATCCTGTCACTTGTCACCTGGGAGAAGAGCCCACCTCACTACAAACACCTCTCAGGTGATTATAGAGAGTGTTGAAGTCCTTCCTCAGACTCCTTTTCTCCAGGCTAATCAATCCCAGGTCCCTCAGCTGCTCCTCATTGGACTTGTGCTCCACACCCTTCACCAGCTCTGTTCCCTTCTCTGGACGTGCCCCAGCACCTCAATGTCCTTCTTGCAGGGAAGGGCTCCAAGTAAGGCATTGATCTGGTGGCTCATGTGTCTTCTTGCATCCTCATTCCCTGTGACTGGAAGGACAGAGAAGAACACTGCTTGTGCTCCTGATCCCTTAAGCAGCTGTCCCAAGGCCCTGAAGAATCAATCTCCTGATTGCCCTTAGTCTGCTAGCTGCAACTTTCTCACTGCCTACCTGGGAAATCAATAATCTGAGGGCTGTACCTTTCCATCCACACCTTCAACCCCAGCTCCAGGGAGACTGCAGAGCTCCCAAAGAAGTGGGTCCTGTTGGCAAATCAAGCCTTCTGTTCCCTTCAGAAGACAGTCTTCCACAATAGTGACCTGCCTTTTTTTTCTTTATAGTAGCTGTTTGGACGCAGGGTATAGGCTGACATCACCTTGGTGACATTCCCATGGCAGATGAATCATCATCACCATTGTTCAGTCCCACTTGCAGAGCCTCACAGGCACCAGGGAGGTGGGGAAGTCACAGAGATACTCCTGCTGCACCAGGCAGGAACTCACATTTATATATCCATGCAGATATATATGTGTGTATATGTCTGTACATACACGTATTTGTAAGGCACACTAATGTTAGATTAAAAAAAAATAGAAGGAAAACCACTGCAATTGGGTTAGTAAGATTAAGACAGGCTAATCTTGATAATCAACTATACACTGGAAATGTTGATAACAGCAATCTTTCTCTTCTAGCTTGGATGTCCAGGCTGTGAATCCATAGCTTTGAGTTAGACCCCTTACTTGACACTTCTGCCATCAGAGTTTTAAGAGAGATAAATGAAAATACTCTGTTCCAGAGGTTTGTTTGCCAGATCTGCTCACTTACATATAATTATAGTTGTATGAGATGAGAGAGCTTCCCTAAATTAAGCTGCTAAACTGGCTGCTTAGCCTCTGTTAGCTGAAGTACGACTTGCCGATATGAATCATGACTGTGTTGGAATGTGGTGGAGGAGTAGAAGAGAAAAAGAATTTATTCAAAACATAGAATTCCCTGACTATTCTCTCTTCTCTAGAAGGTGTGCATTGTATAAACCATGCTATTTCATGTAATTTGTATACATGTATCCACACAAATATATACAGGCACTCTATACAAGTAAATGCACCTTCTCTTATGCTATTTCTCTTAACTGTTAAACAGGCTCAATATACACCAAAGTTGAAGGTGACTTTGAGTTGAAAAGTTGAAAGACACTTTCCAAGCATGGTCTTAAACTGAAATTAAATTAAGAAGTAGATTTTATGGTGAGTCTATTTTTTGTTCTGCAATGTCTCTTGATAATCCTGCTCTAGAGTGAATAGTGATAAAAAAAGCTGCAGATTTTTTTTTCTAATCTAGTAATTGAAACTAAGGAAAGAAGGTAGAAAGGAACCCACTGATTTTTGCTTTCTGCCAGTATTTTTCACAGCCACTGCAATCCTGCATGAGTGACAGCTCTTTGAATGTCAAAATTAATACCTTAATGCAGTGTAACCAAACTCACTCAAATTGTCTCTTTTTTCCACCTACAGATGCCTGCTCATTCTTCACCATCTAAATTAAAATGGTCCTAAATGGACAAATTTACACAGCTGCATTCCAAATAAATGTAAAAAATACCTTCTATATTGAGGGCTTCTTTCATTGTGCAAGAGAGGCTGGCTATTTCCCCTAAAAATAGCATTCCCACTATCATTTCTAACAGCAAGTAGCAACTGATGTTGCTGATGTTGCCTGATGTGACAGATAGCAGTTGTCATCTTATTTAATAATAAATATCGTGTGACTCTTTGGAGAATATTTTTGAGAGTAAGAAATAAACACAGTTCTGGATGTTAATAATACAACTGTATGAATTCTCCCCCCTTCCAATCCATAAAGTTATTTTATTACTCTATACAAACTATAGTGAAAATCTGCATTTATCTCCATTAGTGTCATGGTTGCCTCACTGTACTCCCCTCTCCCTCCAAATCTTTCTCTGAAGAAACACTTAAGGGAAGAGTTGCTAGCCTGCGAAAGACTCGGATTCTATGTACCAATTAGTTGTTCTCTCTGATCTAATGTATGACAACAGACCCAGCACTGAATACCTTTGGTTTTAAGGAGAAGGTGCTGATGGTCCCTATGTGTATGTCCTTCTTGAGAAGAGCATGAGTTGTGTGAAGAACTCTACAGCCCTTTTTCTACTGGTGTGGTTAGAACAGACTTTAAGAGGTCTAAAGTTAGGTCAAATGAAAAAAGGAATTAACTTGTATTTAGACGTTTGAAACAAGCAAACAAATAAATCTTTGAGGGCACAAATCCAAGTTGCTTTCAAGTGGTGTTTGATTGGATCCTCAAAGTGGTGTTGCTGCCCCTGACAGCAGGAGACCATAAAGGGGTTTCCTCCATCTGTAAACATGTAAGAGAGACCATCTTTTCCACACATTTAAATGCTCCTCTGGCATTAGCAACAAAGACGAAAGAGGCAAGGACAACACACTGGCATTCAATGCTTACCTTTGTAAGGGTCATCAAAACCTGAGGCAATGCTACACAAACAGTCACACTGTCACTTCAGCATCAGACCTAGGAAAGGTCACAGACTGACAGCCCATGATTAGCTGAAAAATACAGCAGCAGCTGCTGCAGCAGCAACACAGATTGGAAGTTAACTGTTTCAAAGTTAACTGGAATTTTGAAATCCAAATGACCTTCTTTTTTAAAACTTAAAACCTCTGTCATGAAACATGTTTATATCAATGTGTGCGTGTGTGAGTGGGTTATATGGTGGTTTCTGTAGAGTCTAATTATCACTGATGCCAATGTTCTTATAGCCTATCCTCTCCTCTATAAGGACAAAAAAGACAAGTTGAAGAAAATTCCTGACTTCTGTTTCAGATTTTCCTATACATGACATCATCTTCCCATCAGTCTCAGTTTGATTTTTGATTCTTCCAGCTTTCAAAGCTGTATCTGTAACTGGGGGGAGCAGGTTCAGCACAGTGTCTCCAGGCTAGACAAGCTGGGCTGTGATTTGATTCAGCTAGAAACCAGTTCTAAATTTAATGTGCAAAAAGACAAAAGGCAACTATTGATAATTAAAGATGATTTATACACGTATAGGAAAGATGTTAATGATTTTAATGGTACAGCTGTTTTGGACAGCCAGCCTAGATGGCTACTAAATATTACCTTTTTTTTTTAATAAATCATTAAATTGTTGACTCAGCTTAAGACAATTTAAAGGGGAGTACTCTAAAATTAGCTCTCCCCCTTTGTTTTAACCAATCCCTTTTCACCAATAAGCAGAAACAAAATATGAGTTATCCACGACAACTGTGTGTATCAAAATGCACATGTTAAGAAAAAAGCTAGAACTGCAAATTTCCTTCCAAAAGGTAGATTCTTTTGAGAAAACCACCTAATTAAGAGCAAACTGATAGGATTAAAAATGTTAACTTTTAAAATTCCTTTAGGTGTATTTGAGATAGTTATTTAAGATTTCAGATAATCTTAGTCATGCTTAATTTTAATGTGGACTCTGCCACTATCTTCCACAACACAAGGACTCCATCCTCTTATCCTTTCCCACTAGAAAAAATAACAATTTTGGTTTTAAAAGGCACCAGAATGACCAAGTTCCAATTTCCTTCTTTTCCTGAAGGACTTTGGCAGTGTAATTCTGGCCTGGGATTTAACATGTCAATTCCAACTCTTTCATCACCCACATGCTATTAAAAGGTGAATGGCTTTGGATGGATGAAAAAAAAAACGCTGCTGAGATCTCTTTCCCATCTAGCAGAAAACAGAACTAAGATGTGTGGAAATACTGGGTGGGCAAATCCATGTTGGGGGTGAAGATGTGATTCTAGGAGGGGGTTGTTTAGTTTGGGTTTTTTGGTCTGGTTTGAATTTATGACATTAATATACCAGAGGCAAACTGAAGGAGGTGAGGGTAGACAGAATATCTGAGGTGCTTCCAGTACTCTCTCAAACGGGTTATATAAAGCTGCTGTGTTTTTCTACAGGCAAATGAACCGGGAATTGCCCTGCTTTGACACGTGCAGCTAAATCACAGAGACTGCAGGACTTCATTAAATACAATTA